CCAGCCAAATTGTACTCGACCAACTTCCAGAGTCGTCTCGAAAAAGCCAAGGTGTCCTGGGTAGTCAGTCACTTCGCGCGGTGGGCGGTTTCTGACAGTCATATAGTGATTCTTTCTGTATCTCGTGATTGACGGTAAGTCATTCAACCAAACTCTCTTATTGATATTGACAAGATAATCAGCCTCCTCCGTGCTTCCGTTTGGCTGCCTCTCCATCTGTTCCTGTTTTTTCTCATTCACACTCATGAAATTTACATAGTTTTCTTGTTTTATGCTACGTATAAGAATTGCCTTGTTATGCTACAAAAACTGTAGCTAGTACCTGATAACAATAAAATGCCTTTGAGGTAACGAATCCGGGTGGTGAGCGGGCTACGATTGTGTGATGATCGGGCGATTTATATTGTCTCTGGACAAAACTTCAAGTTTTGTCTTCGCATTTCGTCACAGGCATAAACTTCAAATTTTCAGGGCATCTTAATTGTTGGACAATACTTCATACATAAGCAGGCGTATGATCACGTCCCAAACTTCACGTTTTGTCCAACATTTTAGGCTAGAATTGAACTTCAAAGTTGAGCACACGCAAAAATTCAGATTAAATTTCTTATTGTTATTGACATATGGTCAGTGGGGATACGGTTGCCGATGTTTCAAATTTTGTATTTAAAAGAAAACACTGCCAAAATTTGAAGTTATCTCTCCATCTTTATGTCAGTTTAAACTTCAAATGCTTTCTTCACATTTTGTACTACATATAAACCACTGCTAAATATTGATAACCCCGATGTGTATGCCGATCTGATTGTTTAGATGGTGGAATACCAAAAGCAAATTTCACCGAGGCTGCCAAGCAGTAAAATACCACTCGCACCTCCAAGGTTGACACAATCAACTCGCTCGCTCGACTTTATGGCCTTGGAGATATGCATGTGAAGCGTCCACAGCAGTCTCAAGGCCCACAGACTATCAAGCAAGAGTATCAATCTTACGTTAATGGTGACCTTTGGGATGAAGGTGTTGACGTACTCAAATTCTGGGAGGTACATCGCACCATTTATTCTTTCAACTGCAGTACTAACGTTCTCTGCTTTTGATAGATGAAGCGGAAGACGTACCCAACATTATTTGCAATTGCCATGGACTATTTGCCTGTTCAGGCCTCTGCAGTCCCATGTGAACGAGTTTTTCTCATCGAGTGCAGAAACTGACACGAAAAAATGGAACCGAATCAGTGAGACATTGATAGAGGCACTACAGATGTTGAAATATGGCCTGAAAAAAGAATGGCTCAATTTCTCTCAACAGTTCACAATGTCGCAGCATGACCTTCCTGATGATGATCCCGAGCCGAGTGGAGTGCAACCGAATGTATCTCAGGATCCCATGGATGACATACTAGCTAAAATCACGTCAGAGGAGACTGAGGATATGCCGGACCACATTTATATTTTTCCACAGCCTTCATCTTGGACTCGTTAGAGGCTACAATTTTCATCTGTAACATAGCATTCAGAAACGCCTAGTTATCTGTGTACTACTAGTATGCACTAATACTACTTATGTTGAACTTCTTTTTGACTGCAGAGGCCGGTAAAATGCCACGGCACATGACCTCGGTGATACTTGTGACTCATCTGTTCACTTCCGGAAGTTGCCGCTATGGCGCACATACGTGTTGAATGTGTGTATCGTTGGCATATCATATCTGTTCAAATTCTATCTGTGTACATCAACATCATACTTAGGACTTGATGATTCCTGTGCGTGTCAATGGGAGGTATCGGCTGAAAGACAAAGTAGGGTCAGGTGCTTATGGTAAGTGAATTGTTTTTATTATTACATCTCACTGCGAGGACTGGACTTTGTGACAGGCGAAGTGTATCATGCAAGTGATATCATTGGCGACGGTGATGTGGTTGTCAAGCTTCAATGTATTACTGGCACCACCACAACCAGCTTGGAGCATGAGTATAATGTGCTCAGGCAACTTGGTGATACTGTTGGCATCCCCCATGTCACTGGTGTTTGGACGGGAGGACAGTTATGATGCCCTAGTCCTTGATTGTCTTGGACAGTCGCTGAGAGTTTATTCAAGGCATATCAACACTCATTCAGCCACAACACTATAGTGTTCATAGCTCCTCAGCTCGTAAGTATTTCCTAAATCACATGTACTGATTCTAACATTTTCACTAGGTCTGCCACCTCCAGTACATTCACTCCAAACACTTCATTCATCGCGACTTGAAGCCCGACAACATTCTTATCAGAACTGGCAAGGATGCGCACAAGATTTTTCTTGTTGACTTTGGCATTTCCAAACAATACAGATGTCCACGCACTCACCTCCATATTGCATTCAAACAAACCGCCTCCTTGACAGGAACTCCAGCTTTCACATCCATAAACAGCACAATAGTGTACCTGCCAGCAATCAACAGCAGCCAACATTTGAAAGAGGTTCATAAAAGAAAATGTTCAACAGGTCATCATAGCTCTTGAACATCGCTCTTGATCTCCTCATCGATGCTAAAGACTCCGGTGGACTTATCATATGTGATGAGCCACGTGGTACGCCTGTCGAGAGCAGCGAGGTCTTGGTCGAAAAGGCAGTGATTCTGAATTGCGGACTTGATTGAGTCATCCTCCAGGTAGGGTCTGGATTAATAGAACCTTGTAGATGCGGAGTAAATTCTACATTCAACTTCTGCCCATGCCTTACGCCACGCCAAAATAGAGTCGTCTTTGGTAGGTCTCCTTCCTTGCCGATGAAACCTGGACAATATGCAGCACGAGAAATGTCAAGATAGCAATTATACGTACCAACACCTATATCCTCCTTGAATGGTGCGTTGTTTGTACATTGAATACTCTTCTTCGGCATCGAGGGGTCGTTTCTGGGATCATAGGTGTGTCTGGCCAACAGATATCGAGAAGCAAAGTAGACGCACTTATGGAGAGACAGTGTATTTCAATTCCAAGGGTTAAAATGGTAGATTGTCCAGCCCAAGTAGCAGAGCATAAAACCAGTGACAAATCCATGATTCTATCAGACTTTCACATTGATGGGAATCACAGTCAACGCACTTTGTGTGGTCTATGGCTGGACCTAATCATTACTTCTCTTTGCACCCTCCCGCCCTGTACCCGTAGAGGTCGAACCTGGAAACTAGACACGCAGGGCCGTTTTCGATCCAAGTTCTTCATGCTTTGCAAACAGCTGGATTCTTTTGACAGGTTATTCGCAACCGCCGTGAAAGTTATTGTCAAGTGACATAGAATCCGTTACAGGTTTGGCAGGGCTCGGTAGCATTGTAAGAGACATTGAGGTATTATGTCGTTTAGAGGGATCTGTTGTTGTTGGGGGTAAAGTTATGAATTAGTAGTTTTGAGGTCATCCTCATAATTGTAGTACACGTTGACCCCAGATCCACAACCGGTGTTAAGAGAGTTCCGAATCGATGCATGGGGATGTGCAGACTCTTACCCAGCCACCCGTGGGGAGAAGTCCTCTGAACCTAGAACCAATAGGTAGGCTCACAGTAGGTTGCTTCTGCTTCTGCTTCTGCGTCCATAATAAATCAATATTTTCACATATACAGCAAAATAAATAGAAACTAAATTGAATATACCATTTCTGGCCATCCGCTCGGAGTGCGCTAAGTTGCATTGTACTCTACTTTATACCCTCGCATGGCTAAATCGAAGAAGATTCAGAATCTGCCCGACATCCAGTGGAACGAGAACGAGCACTCGCATGTATGGAAACTTATCGTGGAAATCAGTGCAAAGGCAAATTACAAGGTCTTGTTTGGTAAAAAAGATCAACATGAGGTGAGCGCAGATATCTGAGTCACTAGTACTAATTCACGGAGCCATCAGAACACATCTGGTGAGACGAAGGCCAGCGTTTATAAATGGATTGGTGCTATTGTCCTACCAGAGTGCTGCCCATTCCCACGCGAGGTGTAGACTGCCGGATTTAAGGACCGGAGGGCGAGAATTCAGGTAGCAAGCTTGTTGTATGGCCAATATGCAATTTATATCTGTAGTAAGCTGTTGTGAAAGGTCTTTGAGTGTCTGTGCAGGTCGAAAGAGTGCTTGAATGATCATGAAAAAGATATAGGATTCTAAGTATTGCTGATGTAGCGAGCTGCAAGGCATTTGTGGTATGGGTTTGGGAGTTAACTGCTTACATAACACACCACTAACCCTTGTCCCTCACGTGTCAGCAGAAGCGACCTACTGTGAGCTCCCCTAATACAAATAGAACCATACATTACAGACTCCTACCCAGCCACCCATGGGGAGAAGTCCTCTGAACCTAGAACCATACATTAGTCATCATACTATAGCTGAAATTTTGGAGGACAACTCCCCACGAGCGACTGGCAAAGCTTGTTGTGGCGTGAAAGTTGAACACTGTTTGTCTCACCTAAAAAATTCAGACCTAAGTATGAGTCAGCAATGAGCTCCCGCCTCCCGCCATGCCGCTCCCATGTTCTTTCGTAGTACGTACACATACACATTGAACTTGTAATAGAGCACGCAGCATTACATTTAAAATAGTATCCCTACAAGACAATGAGAAGTTAGCTGTAACCCCCTTCCTCGTGTGGTAGGATGCCTGCCATTCCTCCAAACAATGCTGTGGACAGTGTCCTCCGGCTTATGCTTGCAAATGAAGTATCGCTCTTGGACCTTACAAAAACAATAATGTCAACACCACAGCAAAACTATCAGCCAATAAAGGACTCACTTCAGCAACATGTGGCTGAAATCTGCCATCTTCTCTTCTTGTCCACTGGATGCCACGAGGTTGTCTTTGGTTGGGCGTTTGAAGTCGTTGTCGGGGTTCTTTGTGATGAGATGGTTGATCTGTCGAGTGAGTGCAATGGACTGCATTTAAAAGCATCAAAAACAACATCTATGCAACTTGAAGATTCATTCATCCGCACACTTGCACTGAAAATCAACCCATTGAGTGTGGTAATGAGGATTACGATCCTGTTATTATTGAACAGCAGCGGGATACAGAACGTTAGCATTTTACCCGCGCCTGTTGGAGCAATGGTAATGACATCTTTCCAATCTAGTTGTGCGCGTGCACATTCCAACTGGAACTTGCACAGCGCAATGTCAAAAGTAACACTGACAGTGTCTTCAATCATTGAAGCATCCAGGATTGTATATCGTAGAGCAGACATTGATCACATAATAGATTATCAAGATAGATTAAGATACCATATATGGGAGCGGTGGGGCGGGAGGCGGGAGCTCATTGCTGACTCATACTTAGGTCTGAATTTTTTAGGTGAGACAAACAGTGTTCAACTTTCACGCCACAACAAGTTTTGCCAGTCGCTTGTGGAGAGTTGTCCTCCAAAATTTCAGCTATAGTATGATGACTAATGTATGGTTCTATTTGTATTGGTTCTAGGTTCAGAGGACTTCTCCCCACGGGTGGCTGGGTAGGAGTCTGGGGGATGTGGCGATACTAGGGCGTGACATGGGTAGGGTTTGCCCGGGTACCCGCCCAGGCAACACCTGCGGGTCAATCGTGGGTCGGGGGTGGTATGGGTCATGGGTACCCATTGTAGTTCACCCACATGGGTACGGGTAGACGGTCTGCAAAATTTGGGTACCCGTGGGTACCTGCGGGTAGGAGTGGCAGTGTTACATTGACCATGATCTGTCGTTATCGATGGATTATCTTTATAATGTTCTATGCGACATCAACCACAATGTCTTAGATTCATTAGAGTTATCAGTGCTGTGATGTTCACGGATGGCGCAACTCATAAGTTAAGACTGGCAAGCATTGTAAGTTGCAACCCTCCCCATGTCTGGTGCCTCCGAGTCTCCCAGTACACCAACGAGCAATTTCGAACTCAATGCATCACCATCCCAAAATACACGCCGCCATAAGCACACAATAGTATCACCAACTCCCATGCTCGAGTCTCCCACCAAAAAACAACGAACAAAAGCTGATGTCACAGATTTTGATGTCTGGGACAAAACTGATGACGAGATTATAAGTATGTCCCTCATGCAAATGGCACTTGATTTTTTGTCTGCTCCAGGTATTTTCCTTGCTCATTATTGATTGACAAAATTTGACCAATTAGCTTCTTTGGTCGATGCTGAGTGGGCTTTTTCTGGTGGCCGTCTGCAGGTCAACCACCTCCAGCATGGTGTTAGTTCACAAACCTTCAGAGCTCAGATGGCCGTCAGATCATGGTACAAGACACCTCTCATGAATGATCTTAGTGCTGTCACATCAATCATGCGGATGAAGATGGAAAGGGGCAAAGGCAAGGCCTTAGTAGGAAAGGGAAAAGGCAAGAAGATCGTTATTGACTCAGACTAAGCTTCGTACATACTTTTTTGCTGCTCAGTACATGTACATACCAGTATCGCAAAATATCTGCTCACCCGTGGGTGACCCGTACCACCTGTGGGTTGGTCCACTGGTTGACCCAAACCCACAATGCTCTGACCCACGCGGGTATGGGTAGGCCTCTGAAAATTTTGGTACCCACAGGTTGGGTGCGGGTATGACCTGGGTCGACCCATGTCATGCCCTAGGCGATACATGATTCTGATGATATTCAGAATCGATCGTCAAATGTGTCTTGGTGTAGAAAAATCCAAAATTTGGTTTCCCTGCACAGCCAATTCAAATTCAAATTTGCTTGCGTTCAGAAGAAGATATTTGATTCTTTAGCATAATGGATTACAGACATATTTTATACAAAGAGGTACATCAGGAAACCGGCGAGCAGAAGGTTTTTGTAGATATAAATGGCAACTTCAGATCACATGTTCATTGAATTATATCTAAAGACAAATCAATAAATAATCGTAGCATAATGGTATTGAAGAATAAGAGGGTACAAGAGAAACATAATCCTGATGATGTCTCACAACTGTGACATATAATAGATATACCATTGTAGCAAGTCCACCAGCTCTCCAGAACAGTGATCATCCTTTGCCTAAGATGGCAATCATGAGCTACAAAATACATATAATGTTGATATCAAATGATCATCAGTTGTAGTTGTGATCTGTCTAGGGTAATGTATTGCCGGACACAAGCAGTTATTGTTACCTGCCATCTAAGCCGAACTCTGTGATGGATATTTGTATCTACAACCAATAAGTTATAAAATCCATGTAATACTATGGACTTCACGATGGCAATTGGTAATGCCAACAAGGCAGTAATCGTGAGTTACAAATATGTGTAATATTGACTCCAAATAGTCGTCAGTCGTAGTGGTGATCTGTCTAGGGCAATATATTGCCAAACACAAGCAGTTATCTAAGCTGAACTTTGACCAATGCACAACAAGTTAAAAATTCATGTAACACTGATATCAATTGGTCGTTCAGCATAGTTTTACCAAGTGACTCACCTAGGGCAATGGCCCGGCAAATACAAGCAGTTCTCAGACAATCTGCAATGGTTTGATGCTGCTAGACACGATAATCAAGTTAAAATACTGCACACTGATATTGCTGTGGGACAGTAATTGACATAGCAAGGTACAAATAAATCTACTCATAGTTTGACTTCGGTAAGAGTGTCCTCGTTCCTCAAACTTCCGTCGTCAGGTTGGGATGTACCACTGCAAATTATGCAGCCTTTTGAGCTCGCCTGACTAAAAAAAATGAAGTGGAACACATGAGACATTAGACATGGTGGAACACTCACTGTCGAGCTAGATACTTTCCACGATGCTGTGCCTATGGGTATGCGCAGTAAGAACTATCTTGTTGAAGCTGGAACCACTTGAAAGTAAAGTCAACAGAGGACTCTGTTCAGCTTAACTTCTTCAACCAGCCAGCACAGGCAGTGCCGAGGAGGTTTCAAGGGTGTCAGTTGTGAGAGTTACAGCTTGTTGTGTCAATGAAGACTTGTGAGCCGGAAAATTGGTGGGTGTAAAATTCATAAAGCATTAAGACAGCAAGAAGCATGGTGTTGTCAACAAGATGGGGAGTCTTCCATGGACTAGATAACACGAAGGACATCTTGAAATTGCACATGTACAGGGTGAGGTCGACCTTCTCGAGCTGCTGCATTGAATTTTGATGGCCTTGCTATAAAAAAAATAGGAATGAAAAGGTAAAATAAAGCATCAGATTAAGTAACTCACTGATGAGTAAACATCTCAAATGGTCTCACACATTGGATCATTGGCAATGTAGGTGTGGACTGTGTTGTGAGGTACGATGTCCCAAACCTCCGAAATTGCTAGCGAGATCTTAGGGCTGGTCTGGATCTTGACCTTGGTCATCTCAAGAGGGCAGAGAGCGATGTTGGCAAAGAGTTATGCCGATGGGAAACCAGCAAGCCACAGAGTAGACTTGAATTCGGTAGGAAGTTCCTCGCCAGCCAAGTTCATGTACTGGTCCTTGATCTGCACACTAGGAAGTGTCGTTTCCAGTTGCAGGGTTGTAAGCTTTCATACCACTTCCCATGGACAAATCAATTTAACATGACACTGAAAGACAAGATACCTTGCGTCCAGTTACCAGTTGGCCCCAGATGCCAGCATCGTTTATGATAAAGACCTATCCGAACGAGCAACTGAGTCGCAGTTATTGAGTGTTCAAGTTGCAAATTGAACATGTGGCAGTGCTATTAAAATTGATTGCACGTCATCCGATTCTGGAGATTATAGCAATCTGGTGCTGCTGTTCTATTTTTAGTATGTAATAATATGTAGTAGTATGTACACTAGATTTGAATTGATCTGACATATTTCATGATAAATAATCATTAGTCCTTGAGGAGTGGGGAGCTTGTGGTGAGTACTACCGGAAATCTAAGTAGTGGATAGTACTTGTGGTATGTATGTGAATGTGTGATGGTATGCATGGTGGGTTGTCAAGTCATTACTGTAGCACAAATTTATCTCTAAAATGTTTTGTTAGTTTTTGTGAACAATTGCAAGGAAAGAAAAGTACTCACCCTCCAACTTGAAATCACTGATTTGATGCATCTAAATGTGCGAGCGCAAAAGTCGGCACACCAGCACATCAATCTCTTGATCGGATTTGGCATGTGCGGAGTGGTGGCCGCCTCGGGTACTGTAGTCAGGCTAAGCGGCGGCGATGCGGTACTAAATACATACCATATTTGCCACTAATAACTCTAGTTGCGTCTGTTAAATGTGAGTTAGGCAACTTAGGCTAGATTATTAGATGAGAAAGACTTGCGCGATCACTGCCGACCTGAGGTCCGTAAATGACGCGAGACATGCCTGACGTGAATATTTGAATGTTAGTCAAAGTGATCATGGAGATCTGTGTAGTAAACTTACCGTGAAACTTCCTTATATGGATTTATTGGTGTTGTGTAGTAATGGGTGATTTTGAAGACATGTGGCACCAGTAACAATCACACTAAACAAGGCCAAACAAATATGGCAAATGCCAAACAAAGTTTCAGGCATTTGCCAGTGCACATGTCATTTTCACTACTATGATTCGGATAGGCAGATATTACTACTGTACTAGTACATACAGTATCAAAAGCTTGAAATTACGACAACTCCACTAGCAAACATCAAGACATCGTGAAGTATGAAATATGCAGCTCCTCATCACTGCTAGATGCTGGAAAGACGAATTGTGCATGAGGGACTTCAAAATCAGAGGTAAAGAAAACATCTATAGGCCACAGATCACTCAGGGTTTTCATCCGCCTCACTCCCATCTCGTCCGTCATGTATTTCGGAACTTTGTTCTTGGGATCCATAACCAAGATGTTTGTCTCCCTGAATATATATGATGAGCAATGATCAAATCTGCACGAAGGACTGACTGTAGTGAAGGTAGCTCACGCGCCACCTGGAAGAACATGGGAAAGTGGTCTGGATTCATATACATCTCGTCAAGGGCAGCCATAATTCTAGGATGTAACTCAGGTGCTTTCAAATTGGCAAAGTCAGATGGTATCTGCAGGGTAAACACCTGATACATCTGATACAGAGGCACAATTCCCATCAGTAGTATGAGGAAGGGTAAAACGAGCAAAATCTTATGAGAGTGATCAGTACGCCTACGATCCCCTTTTGTAGGCAACCTGTCCAAGTTTGAATAGCATCAGGATATAGGTCCGCTAATCTCGCATTGCCTTCAGCTAACTCAGAAATGGGTTGGAGTAGTCCAGCCCACATGACCTCCTCGAAAGCTTGTGTTTTGATAAGGGTGCAGATAGCTTCTTGTACCTGTCAAACGAAAAGTCTTAAGCTTTGATTATGCAACCTCCACGGTCCTTTACCTGTTTTGGGTTGGATGAGTTGAGTGCGACAATTAACCCAAGAATCTTCTCCATTTTCTGATCCTCATGGGCCACAAACCCAGCCAATGGGGATGTGCTACCTCATGTAATTTTCCTAAGCTTGGAAGTAACGTCGATGTAGAAGTCTAGAAACTGCCAATAATATTTGCTAGGTGAAGGTACTGATGGCATCGGAACAAACTTACACGGTTGCACAAGTATGACCATCCCACAACGGTCTTGCTCCCATCATCGTTCACAATCGTCACTGATCATGGTGTTAGCTGGTAACATTTAGAATTAGAGGCAGATACTCACATGACTCGCTGCTTAACTGTTCGTAAGTTTTTTGATTAAAGTGGAGAGCTCTCATGAAGCTCATAGTGATTAACTGCCTGGAAACTGCCACAGGAACTAGGAATGGATTGACAAGCATTCCGACCAGGAAATTCCCAATAAAAAGGTATTTTGTCAGTTTAATTGAGCGACCCCATTGTGATGCTGTCAACATGACTTTGAGCAACAATTTTTGAGTTTTGTCAAGTGGATCGCCTCAGATAGTGTGTCTCCAAGGAAGATCTGGGTGAGGAGGCTGCACATCACTGAACAACTGAGTACTGATGAAGCCCATGTTATCGGAATTGTTGTCGTCCAGCAAAGTGGGTGCGGGTAAGTGATCAAATATGGAGGTCAGTTCTATGAGAGTAGGCTCGTATCCAAAATCCAGGGATTGGTGGAACATTGTCTGAGTAACCACTGGTTGAGAGGGCAATGACTGAGGGAATGAGGTCTGCCAAGCTGGGATATCAATGGGTATAAGAGGGGAAGGAGGGGGGTATCCATGTGGGTATGTTGCTGGGGTGAACTGAACTCCAACTAGTTGATCGAGCTATATGGTGTGTGGCATGATGAGTCTGGTGATGTGATAGTCTTTGGAGGGGTGCTCACCAACCAGATGCCCCCATGTAAGTTTGGCATGCAAAAATCAGTCCTATAATCATTGAGAAAAGCAGAGCCACCAATCTCTATCTCGTAGATAGAAAACCTTGTGTTGTCATTTGCAGTGAGTAAAAATCCAACATGTCGTAGGATGTTGTGAGGTGGACGCGCAAGAGCGAGACATTCTTCAGGCCACTGTAAATGAACGCAGAGATATGAAAGATTGACTCTAATGATGATCATGACAACCTCGTGTATATAGGTGAGAGTTGATGTGCATGCCCTACGTATCCCATGAACAAGAATCAGCTGGACAGGCCATGGAAAGGCTGGAAGACAAGAGTCAATTAGAGCGACCACTAATCGGTGATGACGAACCTCCTCGTTCTGCAGTAAGAGATCATTAGCAATGATGCAGATGATTTGCAATGCAGATAATACTTACGCTAATGGGAAGAAGTCTCAAAACTTGGTTGATGGTCTGCACATACATGTAAATTGGACTGATTACTGGCGCTGCTGGGAGTTGCATCTTGCTAGTGTGAAGGAAGCAGAAAATGGAAGAAACAGTATCAGTAAGGCCCTAATAAGCATTTGGGCCCACTTCCTCCTACTTTCAATTGCTAGGTATTATTAAAGCTGCACCAGGGATCAGCAAGGGCACACCAAGATTGGTAATGTAGTAAGTATCAAAGTGAGTCAAGGGATTGACAATGCGGCAAAGACGTGCCAGGGCAGTGGGATTAGCAGTGTGTTAAAAAAGAGCCAGGGCGAGTAGGAGGGATTGCAAAGAGGTGCCAGGGAGGATAGGAGGGATTACAAAGAGGTGCCAGGGCGAGTTAGAGGGATTGACAATGCGGCGAATGTATGCTAGGAAGAAGTCAAAAATACGAGAGATGACCAAAGCGAAGAATGCGGTAGTATTGTTAATTCTCATAATCAAGTGTATGGCTAGTCGTAAACATCTCATCTAATGCTTGGGTGAGCAACTCTGTGCTGGCATCGAATCCTTGATCAAAAAAATCAAGTTCCTCTGTGCCAACATGATCTCCATCATCGTCCTGTTCATCATCATCATCGTTAGCAGGACTTTGCCAGTGCATACTGTTTTTGAGCATTTCCCCACCTTCCAAAGGTTCATTTTCTGTCTGCACTGTTATCTGTGTTAAAGGGCAAGCCATTTCCTCGTGAGAGTATACGTGACTGGCCCCAAGTCCATAATGGAAACACATGAGAGTGTCATGGTCAACAAAGCTAGTGTGTTTCTAGCATATTAGCAATGATTATCATCAGGCCATCTGAGTTCGTTCACTTGTTGACATAATACTTGGGCCAATCATGCTTGTCTCCTGCCAGTGGGGAGATGCTACGTTCACCTGGATTATGCTAGGGTTGAGGAAACGCTGGGATAATATGACAAGCCCTAAGAACGGCTCCTGGGTTTACGAAACCAAATGCATTCTGGTTTGCTAGAGGCCGGAAGTGAACATGGCCCAAAGTATAGGTGTCCCATGCATGATCTTGTACAGGTTCATACCACTGAACAAAGAGAAATTTGATTCAGGCAAGATTTGTATACGTTCGTAAGGCAAATGACATTGACATGATGTATGCTGATCACTTTGGCATAGCAGTACTTGCCGCCGTGTTCATCAACATTGTGGTTCTTCAGCAGCATAATATTGCAATGTGCAATCCATGGGTTTACGACATCTTGAGCCCAGTGAACGTCGTAGGTGGTGTAATTGAACCTCGCGAGATTGTGGTGATAAAGTCAATTACACTTGAAGAGGATTAAATTGTGTTGGTCAGAATGAGCTAATGTTTCTGTGGGCGATTCAGCAATTTCTGGCTTGAGGCAACCGAGAATATGTTCTTTCAATCAGGGAAGAAAATCCTATGGAATATCTCAGCATAACAGTCATCAAAGCATAGAAGTCATTTAACTTCATAGCAGGATCTCCCATGTGATCGCAGAGGTACTGACCAAGGTCATCGTACATCTTCTCACTTTGACTGATATGATGGCGTAACTGGGGATCATTTGCCACTTCATTTACCTCTACAGAAGGGCCTCACTGGGATTGCTGTGCCTCATGCGACGCAAGTGAGCCTCCCGATGCTCGATCCGAGTCAGTTGGTGAATGAATGCTCTTTTATCAGTGCGACAGTACCTGCCTTTCAGTGTACGGTACCATTCACTGTTTGTCTGTATGAGCGTTCAAGCTGCTCAATTTTGAACTTGCACTGTCAAAGTTGTTCGCGGATACAGGTCTTAAGAGCTTGAGCATCTAAACAGACTTGTATATATACATTGCAATGTAATTGGTCCAGATGGGTGCACTGACTGATGCCAAGCCTTGTCTTCCAGCGGCTCAAAGTGTCCACGAGTCTCGATTGGTGAGCACACTCTTCAATGAGACGAAGGTTGTAGTTGACGAGATTGTCGATGTTTCCTGCACAAAGCTGCATCTCCATGCATCGCAATGATCCATCGAGCTCAACAAGAGATTTCTCGAGGGAGAGGATTTTTGAGATTTCCTCATCATTACTTGTCTTCAATCTTCCTGTTGAGATCACATACATGAATAATATGATTGGATCATTAACATGACACTTACGAGGCAGGGGTCTCGTCTGATGTTCAACCTGTAATTTCCACTGCTGATGGACAGCAGTCTCATCCACTGAAAGCTCACATAGAGCTTGCATGGCATTACTCTTCTTCTTAGTGCAGTTATTCCACCTCTGGCTCAACCAGCTGCCAAACAAAACAAGGTTTTTGTCATCCAGGTGCTGGACCTGAGTGTCAAGGATAAAAAGTCGCTGATGAAACTGAAAAAGTGGTCAGTAAGTAGGAAGTATATAAATTGTAGTCAGAGGTGATCTATAGTACAACCATGGCAATTGTAAACGAGTGGCTATAACCCATATGCAACCATTCTTGAACCAGGGAACACTCACCCCAGAAACGCGTAGCAGAGCAATAAGATGTTTGAGTGCACTCCATAGACGCTCACAACCTTCTCCATCAGAAAGGCCAAAGCCTTCACACTTGTGAGGATGGTATATTATTTGACAGGCCCATTGGTGGCTGTAAGCATGAAAGACTGATATTGCAAAAGTTATCCAGCGAAGAATGGCATCATCAAGGAGTCGGTACTTGAGACAACTTCAATGAAGTTGATAGCCAATATCATACAAGAGGCCGACAGTCATCTTGGGAGGGATATTATCAAAAATCTTCTTGATCAGGGCAAGAGCATAGTGCTGCTTTTCTCCCGCTGACGTTATGTTAGTGAGCCTCCCTGTGTCTGCAAAAAACTGGGTGCTAGCCTTTTCACGTTTTTCATCAGCGGCAGAAAAAGATGCACCACAGCCATCTAGTGCAGAGGTCAGGACTTGCATGCCATTCTCATAGCCATTCTCCTCCTCTTCTGTAGGTCGCTTTCTCTTGCGAGCCCAAGCAGGGGGTCTGTCACAACAACTTCACACATGGGTGTCCATCGATGCCACCTTGTCATTCGAAAGCAAAACTGATCTAAGTGGGTTTGGGGGATCTGGACCTTTGCTGCATTGATCCGATGAACACTTTTGAGTGAAGCATGCATCAATACAAGTGTGGACGTCAGGTCTACTATATGTTTTAAAATTATTTTAGTTGCTGATATCGAAGGAGCTTACCTGAGATTAAGTGTTCCACTTTTTTGCCAATCATATGAGCCAAAACAAATCGGACAACGAGACCTTAGATAGTCACTTGGACGTGTTAATCCCTCATTGGATGACACAGAAAGTGGGAGAACAGAGTACCAATGATAGGCATTACCAAGTTGACGGTGAAGATTATCCTACAATAATATTGATCAAGATGACCAAAATTCAATACAGATGCTTGACTAACCTTGGTGGTAAGTTGATACCCACGGCCAGCCAGAAAGACTTTGAGTGTTTCACACCAAGCAGTCATGTTGGGAGTGATATGCACAAACAAAGTCTTGACAAGTTCCAGCAGCTGAAGGTCCACAGTGAGAGAAGGGGCAATGGGAGCACAGGCAAAATAACTGCGAGCCAGGAGCTGAAGGGGAGCAGGCGCACAAGTGCAGCAATCAATTCATAGTATCTCAATATCTATGATATTATCATGCAACCAATAGCCCAGGTAATAAGAGAGACATACAATTGAAAAGTATGCAAGTAATCTTGAGAGCCCTCCGTCGACAAGAGGACCTACACTGAAAGGCAGCAAGCTCATCTGGCTGCGGTCCAATTCAATTGCAGAGAGATGTTGACTTGCACAAGTATGCAAGGTACGGAGTGATCAAGGAAGGAATGACTTTGTTTGTCCAGTGCCACCACTGATTGATCTTCTTTTGGCAATTGTTCGAACAGCAGGGCGGGAGTAAGTCGGCATCGGAGATGCAGTGGAGTGAGTTGTAGAAAGATGAGCCTTCCTCTAAAAGATCCCCAGCAGATGCAGTATCATGCTGTTCAGCAGAGCTGGCATCGCCCAAAGGCTGTTGCTGCTGTGACCTTCCTGCAATATTGGGTGATTGTTGTGTGAGGTGTTTTCTTCCAGGAAGTACAAGTAGTGGGGGGGCTGTAGGAAGGTGAAAATTGCTGCTTTGCTGCGGTCGCCACCTCCTCTTCACCATTGAAGAAGTGATGAGTCTGTGCTGCTGCATTGCAAGGTGATGGAGTAGTCGGCCCAGTGATGGATAAGACCATGACGAGACAACCAAAGGCAAGCACGAAGCCTGCACTGAGGTCAGGGACATGAAGTCGACTACTGAACGCTAGGAGGACCTCGAAGTCCCAAACTTGCAGTTGAAAAGGAAGATGATAAAGTGGGCGAATAGGTCGATCAACCTTCAGAGCGGATGAGGGCTAGGAAATGTGAAGAAAGGAACTCTATACCTGTTCATGTGCACTCTGTTCTGTGAAACCAAGATGTTAGCAGGTATGCAGGAAAATAAACTTCAATCCCTAAGGATAGGGTCTTTGTCCGTGATAAAGTCCACTTATGACCAAAACAGCATTGGTAACATATGATGGTATACAAACTGTTGACTAATTGGGGTATATGCATTTAATAGTACAGTAATTGCAATGGGTAAAGGGCATACCACACCAAGATCTACGCCACCGAATACAGGAGATGAGGTATGATAGGTGGACGTCCAGTATTGTTGAAATAAGACTGAACGTAAAAGACACAACATTCCTTCATCCCCTTCCACAAATTGTGCTCACGTCCGGTATCATTGAGAGGCTTCTTGAGGGACTCGGGAAAGTGCTCCCATGTCGACAATACCTTGCGGAAACTTTCAAAGTACGGTGTAAAGAGTAAATCTCCGCTGGGCTCAGCAGAAACTGTACTACCTAGTCAACAATGTTTAGATAGATCTTTAGCATGACCTATGCTGCTATACTTGCAGAGCAAGTGCGTTCGATCCTAAAGGGATTGCTAATTGGTACTAGTAGTAAAAATGT